ATATATATATATATATATATATATATAATATATATATTATGTATATATATCTGTCTATCTATCTATCTATCTATCTATCTATGCATGTACTCCTCTCCATATCTTTTCACTTCTCCATTTTCCACCACCATTTCTTTCCCTTCCGCTTCCTCTCTCCCTCTCCTACTCCTTCCTTCGCATCTTCTACCTCCGGCTCTATCCCTCTTCCGTCCCTTCCTTCAGCCCCTCGAAAGACTTAAATTCTGGGCGTGTAAATACTCCAAATACTCCAGACGCTCTAAGCCAACAGCGCCGCCCGTGAGAAACAGCATGCACGCCCCGCCATGTTCGAAACCGTATCCCAGAGGGTTTTTTTCTTTTTTTCTTTATAATCCGTAGAGTTCACCAGCGGAGCCAATCGCTCTTGGGATATACTTTTTTTTTTTTAATCTGTAAGGTTTGATTAATTCATTGGATCAGAATAGTCAGGCACAGCTAGCGACGGATAAGTTCATGGCGGGAGGAAATAGAAGTCACTATAACACGATTCAGTGAATGATCACAGGCTAAACGAGGGCCTCATATTGAACAATAACTGAGGAGACTGATTAAGGTTGTGAAATATGATAGGACTGATTTGTTTGGAAAGCGAAAGAATATATGATTTCTGTATATGAATGTAGATAGACAGTGTGTTTTTTATTTTGAATATGATAGGGCTGATTGTTTATCAAATCGAAAGAATATATTTTCAGTATATGATATGAATATAGATATATCGTGTGTTTTAATTTGAAATGTGATAGGACTGTTTTTATCAGATTTAACGAATATTATTTTTTGCATATAATGTAAAGATAGATAGATAGAGATAGACAGTGTGTGCGTCCATGTCTTTGTCTTTTTTCGATAGGCTGCTCCCAAGACAAAGTTCTCAAAATACATCCTTGAAACTCGCAAACTTATCCGTCTAATACTGATTTGAGCGCAAAAGTTTATAGAATTTTACGCCACAAAGGTAATTGGAATTTGGAAATACATACTTTTAAGACGAGAATAATATTTATATGCCCTTTACTCATGTGTGATTCAGTCAGTGATAGTGCACCGTATTTACAAGACATTTCTAATCCTGGTCCTCAGTCAAATAAAAGAAAGTACACGAACCTCAGTAGTCTATGTAACTCACAAATCCCAAGAAAGCGAGGTTGCAATCACTCAAAAAGTTCAGACTTCCTACGTCCTTAGATCAGACCCTTCCGACGCACATCAATTGCTTCTAATACTATCTCTATCAAAATCACTTCTAATTCTATCTCTATCTCCAAAGGAACTGCTGGAGCGACGCTGGGCGTGTACTCCCACAAGATCAACGTCCATCCGGATACCCAGTCTTGGATATGTTGGTGGACGTTACTATCCACGAGACGAGGATATCAGTGTCCTGTCTGTGAAGAAGTACGGGAGGAAATTCCTTCAGGGATGCTGGTGAGTTTCAGTTTTTGTTGTTGTTGCTTTTATGTTTTGTTTTGTATATATATATATATATATATATAATATATATATATATATATATATATATATATATATATATATATATGTATGTATGTATGTATCTCTCTCTCTCTCTCTCTCTCTCTCTCTCTCTCTCTCTCTCTCTCTCTCTCTCTCTCTCTCTCTCTCTCTCTCTCTCTCTCTCTCTCTCTCTCTACCTATCTATCTATCTATCTCTATTCGTGATGATTTGTGTTTCCCCAAATCTAGTCACATACTTTACCATTGAACTATATCTCTTCTCCATTTCTACCTGAGCAAACCTAATCAATCATGATATAACTATCCAAACACTATCTACAAAGAGGAAAAAAACTATCTAGCAAACACCCTAGGACACAAAAGCCGAAAGGGAAATACCCCTTTCTGCCGCCACAAACCTCACACACCCATCCCTTCGCAGTGACGGAATGGCGAGAAGGGGGAAAGACGGCCCGACTGCAGTACGACCCTGGCCGAGAGTTGATGCCCAAGGACGGGGTCATCCACGGTCAGCTGGAAGTGCATTACGATGTCCAGAGAGCTCTCGATGCCGGGGACATTCAGGTGAGGAGAGAGGCGGCTGCGGTAACTGCCTTGGTTATGAGGAGAGAGGCGGCTGCGGTAACTGCCTTGGTTATGAGGAGAGAGGCGGCTGGGGTAACTGCCTTGGTTATGAGGAGAGAGGCGGCTGGGGTAACTGCCTTGGTTATGAGGAGAGAGGCGGCTGGGGTAACTGCCTTGGTTATGAGGGCGATGCTGGTGATGTGTGAGGCGCGTTCAGGGTGCGATGGTGAGGATATTTATGGCATTCTGGGATGATGGAGAGGCCCTTTGCGGAACCTCATGACTGTGGAGATGAATTGTTCTTGTAATTTATGGTATTGAAGGGGATATTTGCTGTAATCTACGGTTATGGGGATGGTATTTGCACCGACTTACATTTGTGGCGATGAGAATTTCATTAAATACGTTATCTGTCTGGAAA